TGGGTTACCCCTTTTGCATTTTGAACTCGCTCACGTTTCCAATCTTCTCCACTTTCCTGAAAAACCAAAATTTTTTTTCTCATAATAAAGACTTCTTTACTATCCTCAGCAAAATTTTTGTTGTTGAAAAAATTAATTTTAAAGCTTTCTGTTTTTTTAGCTTCTATACAAAATTTTAAATATAAAATTTTACAAAGAAACGAGGAAGTATTTTGACGTTGATGGATAAAAGAGAACAAACCGTAGTGCCTTATCTTCAGAAGCTTATCAAACACAGGTTTCTTGCAGAAGTTTATTCAGTCTCTCTCCTCAATCTTACTTCTGGTCTATTTTTATTCTCTAATTTCTGCTGTTTTTTTCTTAATTTTCCTTAAATATTTTTACCGTGTACTATCCTTCTAAATTTGCTTCGAATTTGATTTTTCTGCGATTTATCGTTCAGGATTACCTATTTGTGTATCCGACAATTTACCAGCAAAACACAAAAGTAGGAAGAATGTTGAACTAGCATTTTTATCTGCTTCACTGAGAAATGCAGTCAACCTAACAGAAACTTTAGAAACTCGATCAGTTTTGTGGTGATAAGAGTAGGTAATGAATGTTTTCTCCTTTTTTTTTGGGTCGGAAGGGAAGAAAATTTTTTTGACTATATAAAATAAGACATTTTATTCCAGCAGTGAAGACTAAAGTTTAACGGTTTGTTAGAGCATTACAAATTGTAACTTGACAATTTGTCTGATAAATAAAAAATAATTTACGCTCATTAATTGGTTAGATGCAAAAGCCTTTCGTGGAAAACTGATACTGCAGAAGCAGTTTGACAACACAATTTCTATGGTTTTCAGAAAGCAAAGAATACACAGTTACGCAGTGAAATAAAGATTAGGAAAATAAGTTTTAATAACGATTAACAGAAAATATAACAATTTCTTGCAGTAAGAAAAGTGTTAAAAGTGGCAATAGAAATGTACTAAAGTAGTTTCTGCTTTAGTGTTAGAGTCCGTTCTCAGATACCTCTTACAAAAAAAAAAAAAAAAATTATAGGCTAAAACCAGCTGAATTTATTTTTCCTTATTATACACCTGCTAGTATTCTGCAGTTTAGTTAGGTTTTCAAAGATAAAAATGTTTAAATTTTTTTTCAATGTAACTTTTTTCTGTTTACTTTTTTCACTGTCTTAAAGTTCAGAATTGAAAGAAAACCTACCAATTAAAGCAGCACTCTCAAAATTATTTTAAATATGAAAACTTTTTGATACTGGGTTATAGGAACGTTGTTTTAGTTTTAGCTACGTGCCTGTTGTTTTGCACAATAAAAGCATCAAAATAATTACAATTTACAAATGAAGGTTTATTGTACAGTCTCAACCGTGATTTAAAAAATGATAAATTTCATTTTATATATCAATCTGCAGTGATACAGCTTCCTATTTTTGACTATTTTCTGTACAATTATGTGTTTTAGAATGAAAATTAGCTTCAAGTAATTAGCTGCTTAATGTATTCATTTTTGCCAAAGACTGATGCAATGGAGCATCTTTGGTTTACAGACCTGTTATTGCGGGCATAAGACATCAAATTAAATTGGCTCTAGTTTAGAAACTGTTTGATAAAGATATTTATTGAGTAAACCTGTAGCAGGTTTAAAATTAAAACACTATAATTTTAGAATTTTCGAATTAAAGCTAAATAATCTCCAATTAAAATTAGGATTTGATTCTAAATTTCTCTATTACAGAGCATTAGTTCAAACGATAAACCATAAAGCTCATTTGCCAACCACAGTCGTTACCTTAATTTTGTCAATAAATTCTTGGCAGCAGTGCAAAACTGTCATGTCAGAAATGCTAACAAACGTTAAGCCTTAAAAATTATTTTGAGCTTACTATACTAGATGGTTTAATGATAGATGATTAGTGTTAGTGTAGGTACTCAAGCAAAGAAACTTGCTATAAGAAGATAAATAATAAGACTCATTAGAAGATGCCAAAACAAATGATTAAAAACAAGTTTCCTTTAACAGCCTTTATTTTTCATCTGAAAAATTGAAAAAGAAGATTTGCAGAAGAAAGAAGTTTGTTTTCTGACTGTTTTACAGTGAACCTGGTAATTTGAGGTGAATGTTTTGAAATGTGGAACAAATTAGAAACAGTATTTGAAGATCTACATTCACTCAGGCTCTAAAAATCTTTGGTTTGATCAAAGAATGAATTTAGTAAATAGAGGCGCTTTATAAATTAACAAAGAGAAAAAAAAAGTTTTAAACTAGCTGATAGATTATTGCTTTTCTCAGCAGTCTAGCATCATTTAGCATCAGTAGCATGATTTGTGCATCTCACTTGAAATTCAGTTACTTTTGTAAACTGAAACTTTCATTTTAATTTTAAAGTTGCTTGTTATTACATTGAACTAAAAAATTTATTTAATTTGATGTTTTGTAAGTGAGAGGATGCAGTAAAATTGAGCATTTAGTAAGAAGCAATGAAAAACTGCAGCAGTTTTGTCTCGTAAACCGTCTAATAAGGTTGAATAAATTTGCACTAAAGGCAATCGTCAATGCATTCCAAGCGAGTCATTGATTTCAGATTTTAGAAGAAACCGCCAGCAGGTCAGGTTTCTTCAACAACGACCAGGTGTAAAAAATGACTTTAAAAAAAATGTTACTTTTCACCCGTTAGAACGACAGCTATTTCACTGTTATATAGTTGGTAAATCAAGCTATTTGGTTTTGTTAAACCGAAAGCTCAAGAGATCAGAGAGTTCTATGTTCTGAAAAAATTAAATGTTTATTTGTCAAGTATAAAACAATCTGAACAAAGAGTATTTTAAAGGTAAAAAAACAATTTTGGTAGTTTGGGCATTATATTTCCTATACTGCTCCAGTAAACGTTTAATGCTGCAGAACATTGTTAATGATTAAAATCAACAGCATATCAACTTTAAAATTCGGAACGATTAGTGATTTTGAAATGTTTTTTAACAGTACTAAATAAGTCTTCAGAAAGACCTATTTAAAAAAGCAAATGATGTCTCTTTATGTAGTGACACTGCAACAAATTTTGTACTTTTGAAGTGGTGCCTTTTGAAACTCCTTTTTCTGAGAATCATTTAAGAATTAGTTTCTGTCAAAAACATACCTTTTAGCTTAAGTGACTTTCTCTCCATTCATATTCTTCTCACAATTATTTGGTTTTGTTTCGTTTATATAATTTTAAAAGTTTGATTGATAGCTGAAAACCAATTAAATTTTTTTTAAATAACTTTTTTGTAGGAATAAAAAGTTTTAGCTTGTTGTTCAGATTTGCAGCTATACGAAGTTTGAATCAATATACGAAATTCAAACTTGTTGAGCTTCTCATAATTAAAAGTAAAGTTTTATGCAAATAAACTAACTCAAAGTCACATTAAATACAGGCTAAGATTTTACACTTCATATTTACTTGAAACAAAACTTGGAGAAAGATTTATACTGTATGATAGAACTAAACAAAGAATTCCAGCCAAAAAGTTTTAAAAAAAAAGAAAATTGGTACTATACGAGGTAAAAAATTAAAGGTGATCCTTTTCACCAAAATCCAACCAAAATTTATTTTTGTGCAACAACCCAAACTTCTGAGATTTCTCGTTTTTCAGTTTGAAAAGCTTTATGCGGCTGAAATAATGTATTATACAATAGTAGTTCTTCTAAAAGTAATTACTGGTAATGTTTAAAATTAGTCCTCTCTAAAAAGGTCTTTAAAAATTAAGTTTGATCAGACTTGAAGACTATTTTCTTGCTTTTAAGGTTTTTGATTGTCTAACTTTTCCTTTTCGTTCCTTTTTAGGTGTTTTGTCGAAACAGTGTCCAGATGGATGGTCACGGCAATCAGGCTATGATTTTTGCATTCTTCAGGTAAGCTTCTCTTGGTCAACGAACTTTTGTTCTTCTCATCAACTATATTTTGCAGCAAAATATTGAGAGAATAATTAGATAAAATTTCTGTTTCTTTTGTTACAAAAGAATAAATAAAATACAAACTCCTCCTAATAACTGAATAGGAAATTAAATAACGCGTCTAGATGAAAAAAGCTGATAATTTGAGCGCTATTACAGTTTAGCGTGCCTTTTTTAAAATTTGAATTTTTTGTGGGTACTTTAATGTTTTTTTGTATCATTCCAAGTGAATTTCAAGATAAATGCTTTATATGTAGTGAATCCTAATTGAACACGTCTAATTGATACGAACTAGTCTATAGCAGGATGATATCAGGAAACGCCATTTATAATTTACAAAAAGAATTCATTAAAGATATGAAGTTTTAGTAGTAACAATTAATTTTATAGAGATATCAAAATAAAGCTACCGATCTTTCAAACAGCTTTCAGAGTATCTCCTCACAGTAATCAAAAGTAAAAAAATTTACCTATTATTCACCTATTTTACTCAAACAACTTAGAAATTCTTAGAAGCATTCAGCGACAAGTTATTTACGATTTTCCTTGTATAAGAAAAAGCTCTGCTTTTTACTGCAAATTTTAATGAAGACTTATTGGAATAGCTAGGTACCGAAAATACTATAGAACAGGTTATCAGAATTTTGCTAGCTGCACTTTAATTACTAGTTTTTTCTCCTGAGCGACCAGTATTAATATAGGTTGATGTATGCGTTTCGAAGGTAACCTGATTAAGATTAAGTTAAACGGAAAAGTTTACAGTCGCCAAATTGTCTTTCATCTTCTACGGTATGCAGTAGCAAAAGCTAGTTGCAAAAAATTTACAAATCCGGGAGATTTAACATTATAATACGATTTTTGAAATCAATAAACAAAGCAGAAATCAGAATAGTTAAGTAATAAAGCAATAAGAAATCTCATATCCAAGATTTAAGAAATATGTTTGAAAAAATGAAATTTGGAGCTGGATCGCTAAATTTTGATGACGCTTTGATTTAAAATTCTAAATTTAATATGAGCGGGTGCTGTTCTGAGTTTTAAAAGAACTTCTTAAGAGTAATGAATGTATGCAGTATGATGTAGCAGCTGATTTTTGTGAAGATCATGGGGGTAAGCTGCCATCAATAATCAGTGAAAAAGAAAGTAAGTTATTCCGACGTTTCCGCTTAAAAAATAATCATTTGCAGTAACTGATTACTGGCTCTTCACGATGATTTGAGATTGACTTCAAATCATAGTACATTTTACAGTTTGATAAAAATATCTAAATGAAAGGATAGCTCCTAATAATTTCTTCGGTGAATTAGTGAATACATTTTGAGGAAGCCTTTATCTTACAGACACTTTATTGTCTCGTTCTTCTCATTATGGCTTCTGGAACGGTTTTGAAAGAAGTTATTCCTCTTCGAAGTGGGGGTGGATAGATGGAATTAATGGCAACGTATCGTTTTGGAAGAACGGACAACCCAGCGAGATTGTAGGACATGTGAAGGTAGACCAAAGAGGTCGCTGGGAGGTAGTCAGCGATGAAACATGTGCAGAAGCTGTGTGCATGATTAGAGGTTTGCCATATATCATCTTTAGACTTTTTAAAAGAGAGTGCAAGCAAGTTTAGTAATCGACGATTGCAGCTGTTCTGGAGGCTGTACCGAATTGATATAACGAGTTATAAAATGTTGTATATTTGTCTAGACCAAATAAGTGGCAGCGAAATATTGCATGAGGAAAGCCAAGAAAAGTTTTGAAGACATTTTTTTGGTATAAAATTCACTGGTCAAACATTGTTTTAAGCTTTTTTAAAAGGAAAGAACTTTGAGCCATTTCAAGAACTAAGCACTACGTATTTGTAGACTGGACTGAAAGTAACAGGCTTTGCGCAGACCCTGGAATTTCAGCTAAACCGGGATGTTTCCAAGATGTTTGTTTTAAATCTGTAACAACTAGTAATTTTTTTGATTTCAGTATAATATAAAATTTGATTATGATACTATTAAAGTTTGACTAAGCAATTTTAACATACATTATACTTTCTGAAATACAAAATTTTTTAGTGAAAGAACAAAATCAATAGGATGATACTGATAAAGGAACTAATAAATGAAAAATTTCAGCCTCCTCGTCGAAAACAATCATATCGTAAGACTGCTTTTGTAAATTTAATTGTAAATGTCAAACAGCTGAAAATTATCAGAACCAACAAAAAAGCATTTGATGTATCGTAGCTTTTGCAGGAAAAAAAAATTATTATTAAAAGAATTTTTGCTAGGTTTCTAAAAAAAACAGTGTTATTTTTAGTTTATTTTGCGTACTCACAGATGTAGGTAGAGCACTGTCTTATTTTTTTTTTCATTTATCATATATGTATTTGAGGTTTAAGTGTTGCTGGTCTGAAACTACAAGAACAAATTGTACTCAAACTAACCAATATAAGAGTAAAACCAGAGAACACGGACATATCTGCACAGAAGATAGTTAAGTAAACTGAAACCCAATTTGATTTTTTTAACCTTAACTAAAGTTTTTTTCAAGCGCCTAAAAGTGTAGTAGACAGCCTACAGTAGAGCTAAGCAACACAGTTGAAAAAAGAAAACCTGATAAGACAAAATTCATCAAAATAGAAAGTTCAAAAACAAAATTTTCTTCATTCTCGCTCAAACTTTTTCAAAACGTTTTCAGAAAAAATGCAGATAATGGTACATAAAATGAAAATTTTTTAAAGAAATTTGAAAGTTCTTTTGCTGTAGATTTGTCACCTTCAATGGATAGCTGAAGAAAATCAATTAAACAAGTAGAAAGCTGGGCAACAGCACTATTCCCCTTCGAAAAACCGTTCCGTAGTTTAGTCTTTTTTTGCAATCAAAGATAAAAGTGTTTGTTCTATAATTAAAAAACGTGCAACTTTATTCGTCTTAGTAGAAAATGCTGAAATTTTGGCGACATGTCAATGTCCAATCTTTTCACGTTTTTTTTTTTTTGTCTTCTCTATTCTTATTCAGATGCTGCATTAGCTGTCTGAAACTAAACTTGAAAGATTTGAAAAAAACTTGGTAGAGAAATTAGGCAAGCTGTTTTGCATTTGAATGATTTTGAATATACACAATGACTTTGAAAAGTAGAAATTGAATTTACAGATATAGAAAATTCAATAAAATGTCCTCAGTATTTTCGAGAAGGACAAATGGAAGTGAGGAGAACCACAGTAGTTAATGTACGTGATGGAAAATGGCACTACTGCTTGTTTGACATTCAAGTACACACTTCCAAAGTTTTTGTTAATCACTTTAACTAGAAGTTGTGTGCATAAAAGTTGGAAAAAATGCCTCATATCTTTTTGGGTAGAGCTGATGAGAAAAAATTATTGAAAAGTAACATGATTAATGCAGTTAGCTCAGTAAAATATCACATTTTATGGAAAAATAACTGAAAAAATAATTCTGTTCGTAATCTAACCAACCTGTATTCTTGCTTTCAAAGAAAAACAGTGAGTTTTTGTACCTTTAGACTAAATACAATAAACGTACTACGTTAGATGAGTCACGGAAATACTGTTATCGCACCTTTCATGGCCAATTTTTGTCGACAAGTTCGGTCAGAGAATTCATCTTTTTACACAGTACGTTCTGCAAAAAACTTATATTATAGATTTTTAAGTTTCTTGACAACAATACAAGTGAAAAGTTGTCGTTAAAAAGATGTTTTTTAAATTTTATAAGTTTGAGAGTCTACGGAGCTTTTTAGGTCTCAGTATTATCAATACGCTCTTCATAAGTTCATCCTTTTTAATTATTCTCCTAATAGTACTTAAAATTCTTTGAAAAAATTAATGGATACGACGATTACAGAATAAGAACTGTCAAGTTTTTGGCTGATGGTAAATTTATTTTAAGGCGAACTTTATAAAGTGTCAGATGAAAAAAGACCTAATGTTGTCATAGCACCAGTTGAAAGAAGTTTTCTAAGGCATCTGGCAGACGCGAATTTAACGAGGACATCAGCGGAGTATGGGCATCTTAAGTTTCGTCTTCCTCATCCAGAAGAAGGTTCAAATTATTTCAAAATTCTTCAATTTATAATACCTCTATTTCTGTTTTTTATTGTTTAGTGAAGGACCGTTTTAGGTTGCAGCACAGAAACAAAAGGTTTGATGGCAAATAGTGAACCTTTGCTTATGCTGCAATAATTTTACTGATTAATAATTTTTGAAGTTTTTCAAGACAACCTGCATTTTATAGACCAAAAATATTTGTGCCGTCCAGGATGGACTTTTGTCGGAGGAATATGCTATCAGTCGGTTAGGTTTTTAATGTATCTTGTAATATTTTTGGAAGGGAATCAGTCAATCAGTCAATCAGTTTAAAACAAATTATTATATTTACAAATTATGAACAAATTACCTCAGAAAATGAAGACGATTTTTAGATTAGCAGAACAGGAGATTGGTATGCTCTAGACGGTTACTGCAGATCCTGGAACTATGGTTTATTGGCCACGTTTTACACCAAGGATGATTTAGAACAACTGAAAAGTAAGCGAATTTTATGCTACAATTCAATGAATTGATTACGTCAATACCATTTGCGAGGCTTGCTTTTCCTCTAAATAAAAAAAAAGCAGAAACAATTATCTGTTAGGTTTAAGAACAGATTTGGCCTGCCATAGATTCATGTTTTGCTTGTTTGTAAAAGAATGAAAAGCAAAATTGAGTTTAATTATTGTAGAAGACTGCTACAAAACTAACTCTACTCAGTACAGGAACCAAAAAACAGAAGTTTTGGTATTCAAAAACAACAGCTAGGCTTAACTGTATCACTTTATGCTTAATATTTGTAGAGATGTGATTAAAACTTTTAACCAAACTAATAATCTTTTGCAAAGATCTCAGAATGAAGACAAGAAATGATAAAGATAACTAATTAACTGTGTACTATTGTTACTGATGATATAGTCGTGAAGAATTCTACACAATGACTTCTTTTTTAAAAACTTTCAAAACAATATTTAGCCAAGTGGAAGTACCCCGCATCATCAGATGAACTTTATATCGGATGCAAAAGAGAAGGCGCTAAAACTTGTGTTTTTGAAGATAAGCGCCTGGCTCCTTTTTTGAACTGTAAAGACACTAAGAATTACTGCACTTTCGGGAGTAATGGAGTGTATCTGAGCGATGGTAGAAAATCTATACGTGGTATTTGCGAATACAAAAGTAACGTTATCAATTTAATGTAAATACATTGGTCACTCAGCTGAGAAAACTGTGGCACTTATATTTCCGTGTCTCTATTAGAATGCAGAAATTTTTTTCTTTTTGTTTCCATTTTAAAAATTGGATTTTTAATAGCAGTCTATCACTGAAATTAAAGATGCCCTAAATTATAACCACACACAGTTTTCAAATAGGATTTGTGAAAAAAATTAAGAAATAGGTAACAGATAGAAATATGGAAATTCAAACAACGAAACAGTTGTCAGAATTACAAAAAAAAAAAAAAAAAAAAAAAAAAAAAAAA